AGTTCAAGGCAATTTTGTAGCTGAGGAAATTTTGCTACGATTCTAGAACACAGTGTCAGTCACTTTTATGAAATTATTTTATCACAAATGCCATTTATCAGTTTACATTAGATTGTGATTGGGATAATTAGTCATGTAAATATGTGGCTGTCTTGTCACATGCTATAAAAATAATAATCCCATTATCTATACACGTGGATTTTAACTACACATACATGTATTCTGTGTGAAGTACATGTACATTACATTTTTATGATTTGTTGTCATTGGTTACAGTTCTATATCACACAAATGTGTCAACACATGCTTTGTAGATTTCCATAGGAAAATAATGTAGGTTTATAAATTATATAAATAGAATTTATGATTTCCTCTTCCAGGCAATAATATTTTTGTTTTTTTTCATTGACAGGAAGAAGGTACCATCAAGCCAAAGCCCAATTTCAATGGACAGAATGAGGCAGAAATCCTCAGAAAGGCTATGAAAGGGTTGGGTAAGCGAACACAGTGTATTTTACAAAACTTGTTTTTATAGATTTGTCCCAGGGTGAAATATTTGAAAGTATAAATTGTTCAAATTTCAATTCCTATTTGACTCTTTATTTGAATTTCATGCTTTTGGAAGCTCTTTTGTTTTGCATGAATTTACAACGATCTGTTTCTATTGGATAAACTACTTAGAAACTAAGATGAATCTGATTGTAAATTTAAACGTCATAGCTTTCACTATTGTACTGTAAAATGTACAGCAAAACCATTTAATTTTACCGGCATTTAATTTCACTATTTTGATGTTTTGACCAATTTCACTGAGTTTTAAGTTTGTGAACTTGGCACAAAAACTATGAGTTTTATTGTTATTTCACATGTTCATACATGGATTTAATTTAACGAATTTAACTTATAACAAAAATAGTGAAATTAAAACCAAGTGAATAATTAATGCACTTATAGGGCAGCGTGTGTACATCAACAGCACTTTGTCACTAGAGGGCGATATTTATCAGAAATGAGTAGTAACTCTTGTCGCTTTTACAAAATCAAAAGTCTGTATGATCTAAATATTTTATCAGAAATCTAAATAGTGAAATACATTTGTATACTGTCTTTTGAAAAGTATTGTATTTTCCTACATTGCAATGAGCATGTTGAGTAAAATGATTTGTATTTATTTTAGGTACGGATGAAAAAGCTATCATACATGTGGTAACATCATGCAGTAATGCACAACGCCAGCAGATATTATTGGACTACAAGACCATGTTTGGAAGAGTAGGTTTAGTAATCAATCACTTCCTTTTCATTAAATGATTCATTCTGTGATGGAGCATGTCTGAAAAAACTTCAGTGCATAGTGATAACATTTTGATTTTTGTGTGTTAGGATTTGGTGAAGGATTTCAAGAGTGAATTGGGTGGTAAGTTGGAGAAGATTGTACTTGCACTGATGGTACCAACCGCACTATTTGATGCAAAAGAATTAAAGAGGGCTATGAAGGTAATATGAAACTTTGTGTTTTTTCTCTAGCATGCATATTCAGCATCAAATGAACAAAACTCTGTAGAAGTAAAAATGTCTGTAATTAGACAGTGGGAATTATCTCAAGAAGATATAATAGCATTTGTGAGTCGCCAGCAGTAATTTATATCTACTGTATTGCGCCCTCAGTGATAACTTCTTTTGTTTTTATGTAAATGAAAAGGGTATTGGTACTGATGAGGAATGCTTGATTGAAATCATGTGTACGCGATCCAATGCAGAAATACAGGCTGCTAAAGTAGCCTACAAGAAAGGTGAGAAGCTTTTTATGTTTTTAATTGAAATACTGTACATTATATTGTTATGTCGTGTATTTGCATCTAATCACTATATGGGCATGTTCACTACAGGTCATTGTAAGCTGATTTGGTTATGTCAGTTAGTATGGGTGAGTGGTTAGCATGCAGTGTGGGGGCGCTATGCTCTGTGCTTCAGATTGAATCACTTTTTGCATGTTATGTAAATGTTTGCCTGCTGGTATTTGTCTAATTTACCATCTGCATGCAATCAAGTTCACACTCATCATTTTGAAATAATTTGATTTGTATGACAGTTTTACAGTTCCAAACAAAAGAACTTTCTCTTCATTGTCTTCAATTGTTCATTACACTGCTTTATTTTTGATAAATCTTCCAATAAATTGTCAAGATACCAACAGATGAGAGAATATCTCCCAACCAGGAGGCTGTAACCTATTTTTATCTTTATGAAAAAACAATGAAAGATTCATTTATTCATTTTTGAACATTGAAAACCAACCCACAAAGTGAATGAAGAATTTGATGTTGGACATTTGCAAATACGCACCAGCCTCATAAATTATGCATCTTTGGTTTGTCAAAAAAATTTCTATATCACGACTTGTCTCCGGGTCTGATCATGAACATGATTAAGAGTTGGTCATCACTTTGGGTTAAAGTGCCTCACTGTCTATGTGAGATTCCCACTATTATTCATACATGTTATGTGTTTTCCTCAGAATTTGGTAAAGATTTAGAGCATGATTTGCGACATGATACATCAGGTCATTTCCAGAGACTAATGATCTCTATGTCTGTTGGTGGACGTGATGAAAACCCTAACGTAGATCTCGCCAAAGCTCAAGCTGATGCCAGGGTACTGTACATTTCTTTTTACATTGCCGCATTAGTAAGACATTCATTTCAATGTTTTGAGATTTTTGAGTTTCGAGTATATATAAAATATTTTGTTCTTGTTACAGGCTTTGTATGATGCAGGTGAGAAAAAATGGGGCACAGACGAATCTCGTTTCAACGTCATTCTGTGCTCGCGTAGCTTCCCACAGCTACGAGCCACGTTTGACGAGTATGGTAAAATAGCAAAGCGAGACATTGAGAAGTCCATTAAAAGTGAAATGTCCGGTGATCTTGAAAGGGGAATGCTAACCATTGGTAAGTTAAATGGTCTTAAGTTTGTTAGTCCTCGTTCGGACGCAGTCCGAAAACGGGGACTTATGTTTTGCCCTGTGTGCGTCCGTTCGTCCGTCCGTCCGTCCGTCCGTTCGTCCGTGCGTCCGTGATCACCTGTATCTCGAACATGCATGGACCGATTAAGTTCAAACTTCACTCATACATCACACATTATATGGGACATATGCGCATGCATTTTTTTCATGATCCGATTAACGATAGCCGAGTAGCGGCCATTTTAAGGCCGAAAATGCATCAAAATCGCACATTTTCACCATTCCGGACCCGGATCTCAGTTATGCATGGACGGATTTTGTTCAAATTTGGTACATACATTAAACATAA